GGACCCATTCTCCTCAAACTCGGTCGTGAAACAAAATGGCGGTGTTTTGGAGCTATTTTCGAGATTTTGTAGGGGTACAGAAAATCGAGGATTTCACGGAATCCAAAAATTTTTTCGCAGAATTATTTCAAATAACAAGTACATTCGTTTTCGCGAAAAAAAAAAAAATTGGGGGTTAGGTGCACTTTAAGGGTTTTTGAGCCATTTTGATCATAAATAGGGTATCGATTTTGCCCATTTTGGTCTTAAATAGGGTATGCTTTTAGCACCCTGGTCTTGAATTGGGTATGTTTCTTTGAAGAAGCTACTTTTTCATCATTATCAATAAGACCACCAACAAAAGCCCTTCATGACTTATGTTTAGGGCAACTGTGCCAGCCACAATGGTCATAAATAGGGTATCAAATTTTTGGCCAGGTCATAAATAGGGTAGCAAAAATCACAGATTTTGGTCATAAATAGGGTAAGGATTTTGCTTGAATGCAGGTTTAACTTCACTGACAATCAAGTCAGCTAGCTCTATTAATGATTCCCTAGACCTTACCCTTTACATTTCTAAATCACAAAATACAACATAGGTCAAGCAGCTTTGGGATGGAGGACTGAACTTAGTAAAAATCGACGAAATTAAATGTTAAAATATGTCCCACTAGTTGCACAATAAAACTGTAAATAAATTGTACAAAAACTGCTTGATGTGAAAGAGACAGAATAAACTATTACCAGTACTTCAGAATACTATATCTAAGGGATAGACACAACACAAATGACTTTGCAAGAGAAATAACACTGACAACAACTGCTACTTAAGGTGGCTCAAAACAGTTTCTGGCACTACTTAGATTGTGATGGGTCCTTTATGGCTACTCTTTATCACTTGATGCTACAATCATGGTATCACAAAACTGCCATTCATTGGTGAATTTTCGTTGCAAAATAGGTTACCATAGCAACAGTATGCCCTGCTAAAAGCACCCTTAATTACAGCTTTAGGGGCTTATAATTAAAAAATGGCACAGTGAAATTTTTTTATATGATCAAATTTTAATAAGCATGATAAGACACAACTTTTAGCAAAGTTTTAAAAAAATCTGTACATGGAGTTC